TGAATTTATCTCTTAATTAATGTTGAAACAGAGAGCTTTAGCTTTTGTATGTTTTGTATGCATAGAAGACAACACAAGATCAGATTGATTCCACAGAAATGGAACCATGGTGTTAATATGTGCTCATGAAAAAATGAATAGACATTAATATATCAATGTGTATATTTGAGTACTTTAAGCACTCTGTTTAGAAATACAGTTTACACAAAGAGATAACTAAATTATACAAAAGGGGAAAACACAAAAATATATTCTCTTTTTCTTTGGGTTTCTGAAAGAGGTGTAGGCAATAGTGACCTTAGTGTTTCTGAAAGAAAATACTGCATTGTTCATGAGACAACATAAGCTCTTAGGAGAATTAAGACAGTCAGTCAGTGTGACCAAAACAACTTGTAATAATGAAAACTTGTGATCATCTTAAAATGAGACTATAACAATAAGACATTCTTCCTTTCACAAAAGTCTAATTAATTCTAACCAATACATTTAGGAGGTTTCCTGCAACAGCCTTTACCAGTCCAGTATGACCAATTGATTGTTATCTTTTGTTAGCTCATTTCAGCTATTGTTATCTTTTGTTAGCTAACTTTAGATATTGTTAGCTTATGCTAGCTATTGTTATATTTTCTTAGTTAATTTTTGCTATTGTTATCTTTTATTAGCTCATTTGAGCTATTGTTAGCTATTGTTATTTTATGTTAGCTGTTAGCTTTTGTTAGCTTCAATTCACTGGCTTTGTGACTTTTCTCTACCATTAAAGTACATAGACTTATACACTGTGTATATTTAAGCATTGATATACTGGCGTCAATGTGCGAGTGATATTGCGCCTAGCAGAAAAGTTTTGGTTTTCAACATAATGCGTCCTCTGCATTTTGGCCTTAACATTTCTCTTCCACACATCAGTTTTGCCCATTTTCTGTCATCACACACACCGGATTACAAGGGCCAACATGTACAGCAATACTGTAGAAACCATGTATTTTATGTATCACAGAATCATTCCTAATGCGACCAAATCAACATAAATAACAAAGAATTTAGAATTGAATGGCACCTTTTGGTCTTAAAGGTGGGGTAGGTAATTTTGGAGAAACCGGCTCGAGATCGCTAGAATTTGAAAATACACAACCGGAAAAAAATCTGCCACTTCCTTACAGAGCCCCTCCTCCAACACACACGAACGCGCACATGACCAATGAGGGCACGAGATACATTTGTGCCCCGATGGAAGGCTGACAGGCAGGTAGGCCATCCAGTTATTTTAGCCGGGCTGGCTAAAATGATTGGTCGTGCTTTTTACAGTATTACGGCTTCCACAGATGACATTTTTTGTCAAAGCACTTAAGATATTCATTGCTATCGGGATGTTAAGAGCATTCCATGGAATATAACAAAAAGTGTATCTCGAGCCGGTTTCTCAAACTTACCTACCCCACCTTTAAGTGTTGACTGAAGGGTTTTCAATGGATTATAACTCAGTCCACAGCTGCCAAAATGGATTATTGACCCAGCAACAAGAGTAGCCTTGTGATGACAATATGTGCAACATCGCTCATAGTAGACTTTTGGGACAAAGTGATGATTACAGCCAAATTAATTTTCTGTCCACCTTTAAACTCCACTACTTAATAGCCTATGTTCCAACATGCACTGGATCAAAACTCACATTAGGTAATGTAAATGAGCTACACTGCTTTAACAGAAATATGTATCTGATGGTCAATGTGATGAAATCCCATATGAAAGTGAGCAATAATGACACTCGTGGACCTCAGTGATGACAACAAGTGCCATGTATGTCTCCTTAAAGTGTTTTTTATGTATCATGACCTAAACCTTCCTCCTCTTTGCATTTTCTCCTTCTTTATCAGTATTCACAGAGTTTGCACCCACTGCTGCCAAAACGGACAATGCAGCTCGGAACGGGGATATGAAAATGAAATATGAAACAGTAGTGTGATAAACTGGTAGATAATCATCTTTTCATTAAACTTTCATCCCTAGTGACTTAAATATTCAAGAGCCCAATTACAGAGCTTGTATCTCTCTCTCTATGTCTCTCTCACTCTCGCTTTTCTTAACAAGAGCAGTCAGGGGGAGAGAGGAGGGTGAGTGGCTTAGGGGGTGAGTGAGAGCATCATTATGGAGCGGTCACACGGAGGGTGGGGGGGGAGAGAAAGAGATGACCCGTCGTCCCTCATCGAGGACGGGGAGCAGCAGGCCTGATGCTACTGTCCAAACACACCGGAATGGGAAGAAAGAGGGAAATAGAGATGAAGAGAGACAGACAGGCAGCAGATAGACATGTTAGCAGAGTGCAGCCATGCAGGTCTGACTGATGGAGGGAGGCTGATGGTAGGAGACAGAAAGAAGAGACAGAAACAGACAGAAGAGCTGAGAGGAGTATAGATTTTCCAAGCAGATAGTGGAAAGATGTGTGCATCCTGATGAGTGCCACAAACAGGGCACATGACTCTCTCTTGTCTGCCTGTTTCTGTGTGTGTGTGTGTGTGTGTGTGTGTGTGTGTGTGTGTGTGTGTGTGTGTGTGTGTGTGTGTGTGTGTGAAAGTGTGTGTCAGTGTATTAGCAGTCAGAGCACTGAAGCCCACGGGCGATTCCTGTGTGTGCTTGCGATAAAGGGAAAAAAGGGAGGAAGTATAACGGAGGGGGGAAGCGGGGCGTGGAGGAGGGGGTGAGAGGAGAGATGAGGAAGTTGGTTGGGGGGGTGGGGGGCAGTGTGTATGTGGGGGGTGGGGGGCAGTATGCATGGAGCAAAAAGAGGGAGAAAAAAAAGAAAGGAGAGAGGGAGGAAAGAGCATCCAGCAGAGCAGGGAGCTTCCTCTGTGCTGTCAAAGCCTCTGGATCATGTCCCCATTGGTCTCTCTCTCTCACACACACACACACACACACACACACACACACACACACACACACACACACACACACACACACACACACACACACACACACACACACACACACACACACACACACACACACACACACACACACGTTCCCTCACCCAATTGCTCCCTTCTCCCTCAAACCAACCTCCCTCCCTCCCTCCCCTCTCATGAAAAGAGTGTCTTGGCAGGGTAATTAAGAATGGCCTCTAAACACAGGAGAATGGCAAGAACGCTCCAGATGAAAGTAAATGATTAAAATAATTACAGGCTGAGAGCTGACGAGCCGGAGTGTGGGGTGGCCGCCGGACATTTGTCGGTAATTAGATAATTAATCTGAATGCAAATGATGAGCCCTAACGAAGCAGTCAAGCTGAACCAGCGACAACTGCCGTGAGTGAAATGTAGGGAGGGAGGAAGGGGGGGAGAGAGGGAAAAAAAGCAAGAGGGGAGAGGGTAAAAAAAACACATGAATATGAGTGTAAAAGACCCAACCTCCCCTAAAAAGATCTACATGAACAGACTCAAACCCAAGCAACAGCAGCATTGTAAATCAATAACTGTTTCTGGCAGTGGCAGCTCCAAAACACTCTACTTTCAGTCATAGTGACAAGCAGACATGAATACCTTGTTAAAAATATGCAGAAAAAAGAGGCAAGCCACCATGTGTTGTGCTCTGCAAAAAAAAGTTGAAATATGTCTCGTCTCCCAGGCAGCTGAAATGCCAAATGAAGGGTAAGAACATGAAATGGCACCTGAGGAAGAAAACAGAGCAGGCTTTGCACACCCTAAAATGCGTGAGCAAATTGTTGATTTACTCACTCGCTGCTACACACTCATTATAAGTCTCTTTTGCTCACACACACACAAATACTATCAGCATGTGTACGTGCTTTCAGCAGATGTAAACAACCAACTTCATAGTTTATAACGTTTTTTTTCAAGGTTGGTATAACAGGTGAAGATATAACTTGTCAGCATCCTAAAACTACGCTGGGTGACTTCTTTACATGTATATAAAGATCTTTTGGTTTTATTTATTGTGTATGTGGCAGTACTGGCGTTGTTTTAATTGGGTGCTGTTAAAACAACTAAGGGTTGAATAAAAGCTGGAATAAAGAGCATCTGGGAAATACACTTCAACACCAGTATGGATCAAGTGGCTCCCAAAACGTTCAAAAAAGATTGAATGAAATAATAAAATGTCTAAATATATTTTTTGAATAGTAAATGGAAGAGCATTTGTTTACTTCGGCTTTTAAGTACTGCTAGATTTACTGAGTTATATTACAAATACCAAGACAATACTAAATCACTGGAATTTCAAATGTCTTTACTTACAAGATATTCCCCATGCACATTTATGAATACAAATTGAAAAAATGTTGCATTCAAAGCCCAGCAGTAGTTGTTTCTGTCCCTTAATAAGATCCATAATGTCTAAGATAAAACTGTCATAAAATATTATTATTACAACATCAAGAAACCCTACTTTAAATAGAAATTATACATTTTTGTGATGTTGAAATTGCAAGAGCCATGATGACCCTTTGGTTTTATGAATGAAAGTTGGACCTGTATGAATCCATTCAGCTTATCTGAGAGGATGCTGCAGTTAGAGGCAGACATGACAGTTGATCACTCCCCCTCGTTAGAGCACATTATGCAACACAACCATTTACACCTTTAAGAGACTCTAGAGGAAAATGTTTTACCTGTCCACCATTCTCATTAAATCCAGACAGATCGCACAGACTGCCTCATTATAATCACTGGAGACCAGTGCTGCGTATAGGAATGTGTTGTTAGCATAAACTCTATATATAAAGGTTGAGACAGAAGCTTGTTAGGGCCCTGCGCAGGTTAACCTCATCACTAACAAGTGCCATCACTCTCCCTCACAGCTCCAACAGTCACTTTTTAAAGCTCAGAACACTTTTAATTATATTAATGTGTTTTGTATGACAGTCTCTTAACTGCAGTCATGTTTCAATATGTAAAGGACTGTGTTGTTTGTTCAAAGCCTGTGCTCTGCAAATTGGTTTTTCGTTTTATTAAATTTGAACTATTACTAAAAAAAAACACCTCAAAATGTATTGTTAAGGCAGAAGACACATATTTATTTAAAATAGACAGTATTGTTGCTGAAGGACCCTCTAAATCAGGGGATTTGATTTGTTGACATTTTATTTACAGGCAAGCAAAAATAAATATAGATTTCTTATATTTAAGAAAGGTCAGATGTATTTCTACTGGTATAAAAACATCCCTTTATAGCTTTCGGACCCTATCATTACTCAAAATAATGTTTAAAAGTTTCAAAACTACAGCTACCACATGGGATAACTATCCGTATTAAACTGTTGAATATTTTTCCAATTTTAGTTATTCGCTCCATCAATAAGTTTGGTATTCAAAATACAATTAAAACGTTTAAAACAATTTAAAATTAAATACATTTGTTTTTGTTTATGTTGGACCTTAAACATGACAGATAGAAGATATTTAAATCACAGTAAAGAAATCTGTATAATGTTTAAAAAAACAACAAAGAACAGGTTTAAGGGTTTACTTGTCTGCCTACTGATACATAGAACATGTCCCAAATAAACACAATGAGAGCATTTAACTGAACAACTCAAAAGAATGTACATGATATAAAGCTAGAAATATACAAAAACATGTAAGTGTGAATATCAGTGTTGTCCTCTCAGAAGCATGTTTTCCAGCATGTCTGCTAGAACATAGCATGCTATAACAAATTCCTTCAGTCTTTCAGTCACATTATTTACTCCACAAGCAACTCAAACTCCTCTGCCTTTTCAAACTCTTCGTTCATCTGGGCCGCCAGTGCCTCCATCTCTGTGGTGCCGATCTGCTGGACCTTATTCCTCCTTCTCTTCTGCTTCACCACAACTACTCCGGGGATGTTTAGGTCCATCTCAGGTATGGCTGATCCACAGTCCTCCGCCTCAAGCAGAGACGTGAATGAGTTCAGCCCAGACAAGGATCCAGAAAGCTCCAGACCTGCCTTCGGCCTCTCGACTCTCCGGATCACCTGTGGGGTGTTCATGTTCTGAAAGCCGAACATGTTCTCCTTGCAGTCGGGGCTGTTTATGGACTGGTCGCTGAGCCTGCTGTAGGAGCGGCGCACCTTCTGCGACCACACAGCGTCCCCTGGTTCCACTGTCGGGGGCTGGGGTTGAGAAGGGCCCGGCGGTGAGGAGGGGAGTATCGGGGAGAGGATAACGGCCTTCAGCTTCTTCTTCTTCGCCGAAGAGGAGCCCCCACGGCCTGGGACAGGATCCGGGGTGGAGACCTTCGGCTTATTCTGCTGGGCTGGCGTGTTTTCCTTGTTTTGCTCCGACGGAGCGACTGTTTTTCTGGGTGCTATTTTCCTCACAGTAATGGAGCGTTTAGCAGCAAACGCCATTTTGTTGTCAGGTTTAACCTGGATATTAGCCGGAGGAGAGCTCAACCGCGGTGACCGTCTTCTCTGCGAGTCGTTCATGGGTTTTAACTCAGCCATTATGTTTTTGGGCTTCCCCTCGTTCATACTGACCGTATCCTGGCGATATAACCGAGTATGTTTAGATGAGTTCTACACTGTAGAGTAATATCGCCACAAGGCTGTTACAAACAACAGCAGTCCGCTCAAATTGCCCGCCCGAGTCGCGTTGAAAGGACGTAGTCGCGGTTTCCGGTGACGACAACATCCCGCGCCACCTATCTCAAACTTTTGCTGTGTAATCTGGACAGTCGAGGCTAAAAGGAACTTGTGTGCTATTTCTATAATATTTAGGAATACTTCACGTCTTACCTGTTATACAAAATGGAATATTTAGTCGGGATACAGGGACCGGATTTCGTCCTGGTTGCCGCCGATAATGTTGCAGCCAGCAGTATCCTTCAGATGAAACACGGTATGACAACGCGTTAGCTTAGCATTAGCCATTATGTCGGTTGATTTTGCTATAACCTGCTAACAACACCTGTTTTTATAGTTCTTGTTCACACTTAAACCCGTTTCTGTTACTGACAGAGCATGCTTAAATAATTCCAATATCACGTTATATTGGTGTGTAATATATACATTATTCTAATATCACATAATTTACTCATATTCCGAATTGAATTTAAGCTAACAAAGCTAACCCTAGCTAACGTTACGTTAAAGTCGCGGATAATCTTACATATTCTGTTTGTACACAATTTCTTTCCATTACTCACATTTGCATGTGTGTAGGGGCAGAATAATGATTATGTACTGCACAGAGTTACATATATTTTACGTCTTTTAAATAAATAAAGAAGTTCGCCAGGTTAGCACTAGCTGCCAAGTCAGGCTTCTGACAGTGAAAGTGAAAGAGCTTACTGATTTCAAGTTACTCACTCTGGGAGTCGCTTAATGGCCAATTTCTGAAACCCTACAATCTATTTATGTTTCAGGGGATATATTTTTCACAGCCTATACACATACATATTTAGATACTACACCAAAACTTAATGTATTCAATAATCGCATGTCATGTCAGCCAAACAGAGTGTGCAGGGCTGCTGAAGTAACACAACTGTTGTTGTATGTCTGACTAGATAAAAGTAATATTTATGTGATAGTGTTTTGGGGGTAAGGGGTTGATCAGAGTAATTTGATATTGTGCTAGGCGTGTTATGACTCTGAGATTTACATCTGAATAACTGGGTATAGGAAGGCAGAACGCACAGGATAAATAAATTGTGGGTTTTTTGTGTTGCTTTTCAGACCAAGACAAGATGTTCAAACTAAGTGAGAAAATCTTGCTGCTGTGTGTTGGAGAAGCGGGAGACACGGCACAGTTTGCAGAGTACATTCAGAAGAACCTTCAGCTCTACAAAATGAGGAATGGTAAGGACCCCATGGCTGTTAATTCAGCTGTGAAACATTCATTCCTTTTTCTCGAAAGTGTCCTTTATCTCTAGATGTTGGCAAAGTTGCCATATTGGAAGGCAAATTGTATATGCCAGAGAAGAAGTGACCAGAAATGTTGTGTCTAATATTTTGTCTATTGTTTTTCTCAGGTTATGAACTCAGTCCATCAGCCGCCGCTAACTTCACAAGAAAGAATCTGGCAGACTACCTTAGAAGCAGGGTAACTATTATTATACACACTACTAATACAACACAATCAACACAGCTTATACAATTGTTTTTAATGTTCTGTTGGTTGAAATATAACAGCTACATATAATTTGCCAATTCAGATGAGTGTCTTATGACAAAACAATTTAAACTCTGTAGAGTGTAGGCCATATAATCCAGTTAGCTGTGTATGTCCACACAAACTGTAGGGATTTACAGGGTGCGTACGGGTGCTGGAAATCCTTGAAAATGCTTGAAATTGTACGAGGTGTTTTCAAGGTTTGAAAAGTGCTTGAATTTTGGGAATGGTGCTTGAATTTGGGATAAAGTGCTTGAAATTGTAAATGATTTACCTCGCTTTTTAGATTAAAAGAAAATAAAGAAGTCGGAGCGCGCTTAATTGCTTCGCTTTTACATAAAACAGCTCCGCTCCGGCCTTCCCGCGCAATGCGCGTGACCGGCAAGTGTTTTTGTTATGTGTGTGACCTGGGCATTCTGATGAGAGTGATAGATGACAGTATGCCAGGAGGTTGCCGTTTCAACGAGCGTTGGCTAGCAGAAGACAAATACAAGCCATGGCTAAGACGAGGGTCAAGCGAAGCCCAAGAGTAGCCTCCTGCAAAGTGTGCAACAATAACGATGCGAGAGTCTGCGCTGACGAGCCACACACCACACGAAAGGTACGCCGTAGTAGAGTATTTTAGATTAGGCTATCGTTGCATGTAAAATACATGACACTTTTCTCTGTGCGCGGCAAAACAAGCTCGCCAAAATGGCTTCACTAGTCTGGCAGTATTTTAAGTGTCCGAAAATGACAATAAAATAGCGGTATGCAACGTGTGTGTGAAGCAGAAATCCTGCAGCTCCACCCGCTGTGACGGACCGGTGAGCGGAGCAAAACACACATTAAGAGTTAGACCTAACACACTTAGCTATTTTATCTACCTCTGGAACAAGCTAAACTAGTTATAAATATATTTATTCTTCACTGTCGGGTCGCTCATTACTGGATCAGTGAGCTGCAGGAGATACTGACAGGCTGTCAGGAGAGAGAGAGAGGGGGAGAGAGGAAAAGAGAGCGATATCGGTATCGGCCGATACTGATTCCGGCGATCGGCTCTAAAATTGGCGATCGGAGCATCCCTAATAATTGTATATGATATGTTTTATAATGATTGATCATGAAAGTGTTCTCAAAGCTGGTAAAGGTGCAGCTAGTTTGAATGACTTTGTATACTACAGAGTAGCTTGTGAATTTACTCCAGGTGGAACTAAAGTCTGATTTAACACTTGATTATATTTCACATCATTCATCCACATCTGTAAAGTAACTAAAGGTATTAAATACATGTAGTGGAGTCAAAGTACACCATTTACCTCTGACTTGTGTTTACTGCCAACCTAAAAGTACCTCAAAAATAGTAATCAATAATATATTGAAAAGTTATTTGGCTGATTGTTTTATATTGGCTCAGCCAGGTTATATGGGATGCTCAGTCTACGTACAGATGGGTCACTCATTTTGAAATATTAAACTTAGTTTTCTTTTCTAACATTTTTAATTTTTCATCCTCATGTAGAATGCTATTATGAAACACACATTTGGTTGTTTATAGCATAAAGACCATCTGATTTAATGTGAGGTAGGGAAATAATCATTTGAGTATAAGTATGTGTATATAAATATGTAATTTACAACAGCTGTAAGATGCTTGAAAAGCTTGAAAATGCACCTTGAAAATGCTTGAAAACTGCTTGAATTTGACTTTGGAAAAGGTGTAAGAACCCTGGATTTAGCTGTTGTGGGTTTGTAAGGAAAAATGTGTAAACAATCAAACTTTTATAGCCAAAGCATTAAAAAGACCACATATCAAAGTGAAGAAAACTGCATTATGGTGTGTGTTACCTGACATATCCATTACAAATGTATCCCATTTCTTTTATTGATGTGTTGATTTGAAATTGTTGTCTGAAATAATGTGTTTCTGTTGGCACTGGTAGTTTCTAAATCCGATGGTCTTTTACTCTCAGCCCATTAAACAGCCATCAGCTTCCTAAAGCTGTGGTAGTAACTTTGATCTCTTTGAAATGTTTCCGTAGGGAAGATTTTGTTTGTTTTACAGTTTGATGAGAGATATGACAATAATCATAACCATAGTATGGAGCACATATCTTGTTTGAACCTCATTTCTGCACACTTTAGCATCAAGAGAAGATTTCTTCTGGTTGATCCACTTCAGGTCCTCACAGCAACTAGCCAATACAATTATAGTAGGGGGGTTTTGATAAAGAATAAAATCGCTTTGATAGTCAATCAGTTCCTATGCATGTATTTTCTTATTTAACAAGATAATCTCCACAATTTAACACACTTTTTAACAGAATAAGTTAATAATAATGCGTTTATTTTATATAGGCGCCTTTCAAAGCTCTCAAGGTCGCCGTACAAACACATAAAAAACAAGATACACAATACATAACACCAGCATAAGAGACATAAACAAGACAATGCAGTATATAAATCAATCAAATAAATAAAAACAGAGGATGTGTGATGGATAATGATCAGGGTGGATATGAGAGTGTGAAGAGATGTGTTTTGAGACGTGATTTGAAAATGGGGAGAGAGTCAGTATTGCGGATGTCAGGTGGGAGAGAGTTCCAGAGGCGGGGTGCAGAGCGGCTGAAGGCTCTAGACCCCATGGTGGTTAAACGGAAGGGGGGTGCAGTGAGGTGGAGGGAAGCAGAAGACCTGAGAGTGCGGATGGGTGTGTTGATGTGCAGGAGGTCGGAGAGGTACAGAGGAGTAACCCGTTTCTCAAAGTTCCCACCGGCCAAAAGGGTTTTCTAGATATGATAGAGCAACCAGCTAATTAATTCACCATATTTTGTTCTACTGTAATATACAATTAGTTTTTATTATACTGACTGATATGATTGTGTGAAATTCCAAAGAGGGAACTTTTGGATTTTAGCCCTTGGAGACCATTTACATAACAAAGAAACGCCATAATAGAGAACCGCAGTGACGTGTCCTAAAACCCGGAAGTAAGTTAGCATTTCTACCACTTCCGGTTCCTTCGACAAAAAGCAAAGCAATTTCTCCATAGGATTTTGGAAAATAGCTGGAAATAAGGTCTGTGGTTGACACAAATTGAAGAGACAGATCACGTTTTGTTCTACGACATTAAATACATCAGCAGTGACCCCACTGGTGATTTTTGAAGAGTTTACGTGTCTGAAAAACGATGGTTGTTAACAAGTGGCTGAATAGGACTACAGAAGTTGTCGAGGCCGTTTTACGTCATTACACCGAACACGTAAAACACTCCCGCTAAGTTTGTTTGCCCTGTTCTGCTTGAAAGCAAGTGCCTGCGCTCTTGCAAACTGTTAAAACAAATGCTTCAACTTGTACCATTTTGAATCTGTAGTTTTTAATATCGATCTTAAGTTGGCGTGACGTTGAAGCAGCGACCCTGCTGTAGTTCGTTTATAGCATAACGTTAGCATTTTGCTTCTGGCGACTAGATTTATGATTTAGAAAATTATAAAAGTAGGGTAGACATGTGGATATTATCCGGCTGAACAAAACGTGATCCGTCTCTTAAATGTGTGT